CCCCAAAGTCCCTGGGCTCTGTGGCTCTCTGACAACCTAGATGATACACTGAACCATCCTGCAACCCTCTGCTTCTGAGTCCAGCAACCTCCTCCTTTCTAATCACACATTTCTAGCGTGAGCTAGGCAGGGACAATTCTTGCCTCTATTCAATGATGCTGAAGTATAACACGTGTAATTCCTATAAGACAGTCTTGGCCAAAATCGAAAATCCTGTTGCTCTTTCAGTCCACCCCCACCCTAACCGTCACACTACAGCATCCTACAAGGTTTTTGTTAGTTTGTTTTTTAACTACTTAAAACTGTTGCTTCCTGGGCAAGTGTGCTCCTTGAAGAACTGGCATTTGGCTTGTGGTCGGGACAACTACCTTGGACCAACCAGTTGGAAAGGAGGGTGACTAGGTCAGTTGGGCACAGATGGGGGACCTGAGCAGGGAAGGGGTGATATTCTCTCTCTGCTAAGCCACCAGGATGGCAGCTCCATCTTTCATCTGGGCCGCTCTATTGTGCTGGTTGCTATCGGTTCCTTTCCTTCCACTGAAGCCCAGTGGCTGTTTGTAGAGAAGCTTTTGTTCAGAGGGAAACAGGGCTTCTACCTTCCAACAGGAAGAGCGTCAGCAGTGGGAGGGGGAAGGGGGGGGATGGGATTCCCCGCAGAGCCCTCTGGTGGATTTTTTCTGTAAGCACAGCTTCTGCTTCTTGGAGAAAGGACTTCCTCCAGCTCATGACATTGCACCTGATGACTTGTGGCCTTTGGTCCGCTGTGGGATCTGCTGGTCCTCCTGCTGGCCTGCATCTCCAGCTGCATCCACTGGCAATTCTGTTCCGGGTGCCTTCTCCAGCAGCTCCTCTAGGTCAGCCTTGACTTGTTGCTCCCATTCAGCTTCCTTCTTCATCTACTGGCTTCTAAACAGTCCATGTTGCAAACCGTTCCCACCATGGTTCTAGCTTTATTTCAATCATAGGACCCTTGGCAATGGCTGAAACAACTTCATTCATGCACCGTTCTCAGAAGTTGTGGGCATGAAGTCTAGGACAGTAGGGATGTCCTGTCTGTTTCATCCCTGCACCCTAGCATGCAGCCGAGTGTCTGGATTTTATTGGGTAGGTAGAAATCACATGTGAAAAAACAAATAACAGAGACATAAAAACATGGATTCTGAGATGGTTTGTCAGAGGTTGTGTAGAATTGCCTTGTTTGCTGGTTTTTTCATAATAGTCTACAGAAGGTGCATCTGCATGGTTGATATCCTAGTTAGCGTTTACTGTTAACTTGATATCAAATCACCCGTGGTGAAGGTCACTTGGGTTGAGTAATTGTCTTTATCAGGTTGGCCAGTGGATGCGTCTATAAAGCACTATCTTCACTGCTAATTGGTATAGGACCACCGTGAATAGTCCCACCCCTAGGCAGGTAGCCCTTGGTTGTAGAAGAAAGCCAATTAAGCCCAAGCCAGAGGGTTAGCCAATAAGCAACAGTCCTCCCTGGCTCCTGCCCTGACTTCCCTCAGTGATGGACTGTGGCCTGGAAGTGTGAGCCAATTAAATCCTTTCTTCCCAGAGTTGCTTTGATCATAGTGCTTTCTTATAGCAACGCCAAAGAAATTAGAACAGTTTGAGTCCATTCTCTGGGATTATATTCTGGTTCCCAGGAATTAGGATCTTTCCTCCATCTAGTCCTCCTCACTCTCTTTTTTCCAGTGCTCATTCACACACTCTTAAATAACTCCTTAATAGTGTTATCACAGGGGCTGAACTTATGGAGAAAAAGAAAATAAAAACAAAGAAGGAGAAAGGAGAAGAATGTATCGCTCCACTTTTCATACCGGCAAAGGCAGAGCTGTGCTGGCGACAGAGACTGACTGGGGCGAGGGTTGCTTCTAAAGCAGACTCTACAACGGAAGGAATCTGTGTCATAGGATATGTGTGGGACAGGTGACCCAAGACCCGGTGACCCCAGTTACTTGCAGGAAAAGCGCGCCATTCCCCACTGCTAACTTGGGCAGCGTGGTGAGACCCCTCAGCTTGCGTTGCTTCAGGAACAGGCTCATACAAAGGACGCCACGGTGCTTTAGAAAAGCCCCAGCACTTTGAATCAAGGAAAAATGACTCAGTTGCTCCTCTTTTTCAGCTCTTGAACTTTAAAAATTTGACTGTGGTTCAGTGTTTGAGGTGGTGTGTGCGTTCGGCTGAGGGGGTGGAAGTTGACAGGGAGGGTTCGGAAGGTAGTGATTAGGTTCTAAGATGTCTGGGGGTGGAGGAAGAGGAAAGGAAGGAGGCAGACTCCTCTGCAGAGGTGGAATAAGAAATGTAAATGGGTCAACTTGATTGGCTCAGGCCCTCCCAGATGGCAGGAAAATTCGAAGTTAAGGCTTTCTCTGGCAGAAGAACTATTCTGTACTCAGAGATGGGGAAAAATAAAATCCACTTGTTACGTACGAGTATTTGTGTCAGAGACTCTGTTTTAACCAATTTAATTTGACTAGATGAGGAATTCTCAACGAGCCATTATGTGACTGTCCCCAGGTCAGATGTATTGTAGGAGGCAGAAGAAAGGCTTGCCTACATGGCTGTCCCCCACACTCTGACAATCTCTTTAGTGAATTGAGACCTGGCATAGGCCAGGTGAAAACATGACATCGAATGGCTTCAGTGCCTCAAGTCATGCTACTAGACAATAGACACGCTGGATCTAAGGAAAGGGGTCTGGCAGGGGTTGAGAGGAAATGGCCCCTGAAATAAGATTTCGATGCTTATTTGGGGTACCGTGTCTGCCTCCTCTTTGTCTTCTCCAGGCAACCTTAACCCCAAGTAGACGCTAGGCTGACCTTCTCCAGTGATGGAAGGAAGGCATGAGGCAAGAACAGAGGTGGTGTAGACGTTTGTAGAACCACAGCTGGTTCTACAAACAGAGAGAGTACTGGTCCAGTTTGACAGGAGGGCTGGGGGCTGGAAGGCTGCACGTGAAAGAACTGGGATTCCCCCTCCCCCTGTTTTCAAAGAGAACCACAGGAGGAACAAGGGAAAACTATTATAACGAGTTTTCTCCCCCAAACCCAGATGTTTAAGGTTTGGTCTGTAGCTGATGCTATCAAGATGTGAGGAACATTTAGAAGGAGGGCCCTTTAAGCCATGAAACTGTGCCCTGCTGGAGGCCTTACCCTTCCTTCTGATCTTTGGTAGTCTGGCCGAGGGAAACTTGTGCAATATTGCGGGCTCCCACCATGATGAGCTGCACCCACTCCCGCCAGAGGCCCACGGCAATGGATCTATTGAATCATGGCTGAAAGCTCCAAAGTTGTGAGCCAAGATAAGCCTTTGATTGAGCGCCTCGTGTATTTATCACAGCCACGGTGCACCGACTAGTACAGCAGTGTTTGGGTGTGACTGTAGCGTGGTTTAGAAGCAGTTCAAAATAGTGGGTTAGAGGTTAGCTGGGCAAGGGGGAGTAAAAGTGGGGCCCTGGAATCAGATGAAATGGTTTTGGCTCTTATGTGGACCAGTCGTATGGCCCCAGGCTTGCGGTTGGAGCAGGGTAACCAACCCATCCAGTTTGCACGGGGGTTTTCCCAGTGTTGGCACCGAAAGTCTCATGCCCCGGGGAATTTCCAAGTCCCGGGAAAACTGGGACAGCTTGCCTGGGATTGTTCTGACTTTAAACCTTCAAGGTCGATGTCCTGGGAACTACTTCAATAGTGAGCAAACCAGGAAAGTTGGGGGGGGGGGACATCTGGCTAGGTTCCACCTGGTTTCCTCATGTAAAAAGAAAAGATAATAAAGGACCCTTACTTGAGAGTTGTCCGTGGATTAAAGGAGATTGCTCACAGAAAGTCTGCAGGGTGCCGCTTGTCACAGGGAAGGCAGAACACTGACATTTGCGGAATAGATGAGCCGGAAGGGTTCAGGAATGAGCCAGTGAGGGGTGGAGGGGGAAGGAAGGGAGAGTGCCCCAGCACTGCTGAGACACAAGCAGAGCCAGTGGCTATGTGTCCAGAACTGGAGACTGGGATTCTACCTGTGCTTATAAAAGAGGATTGGCCAGGAAAGTTCATGAAGTCAACAAGGAAAATGCTGGCCACTGAAGAGAGGATGGGCTGTAGCAGCCCCATTTCCTTTTAATGTGTCTGCTAAAGGGATGTGTCTCCACCAGAGGGTTTCAGGGGTGGATGTCTCTGCTCTCTCATTCAGCGGACACTGCGGGTACGTGCGCTCAAGTAAAATAAGTGGACGTTTTGTTTCCACATTTATTCAGTTATTGGTGAGGCTTTTAGTCAACAGACATTTATGAATTTCTTTTTACCTGTTAGGCACAGTGCTAGCTTCTGGGGAGGCTACAAAGGAAGGAGAAACAGGAGTCCACATGCTTGGAAATTTTATGATAAAATGGCAGTTTTATTATACTTATTATTACTTATTTATTTTTACACAAACCACAGTTCCTCTTCCCTTGTTCTTCCCTGCCAATAGCAGAGCTTTCTGCAAACTGCACATAAAACTGTTCTTTACCTTTGGACCTGATAGAAACTGAAAGCAAGGAAATCTGAAAGTACGCATGGAGACAGGCTGGGTCAGGAAAGACAGAGGAGGCAAACAGAAGGGAAGAGAACGAAGGAGAGTGGAGAGGGAGGGGCAGGGAAGAGGCAGAGTGTCTTCAGAAGGGGAGCAGAGAGAAAGGGGAGGAAGAGGGAGCGTGTCTTAGTTTGCTTTCTGTCATTGTGATGAGGATGTCACAACCACAAGCAATTTGGCAGGAAAGGGTTTGTTGGGTTCACACATCCCGAAAACAGTCCATCACTGAGGGAAGTCAGTAGGAACTCGGGAGCAGAGGCAGCAACCATGGAGGATTGCTGCTTACTGGCTTGCTCCCCATTGCTCGCTCAGTTCTCTCTCTTATGCAACCCAGGATCACTCATCCAGGGGCAGCACCACCCACAGTGAACGGGGCCCTCTCACATCAATCATTAATCAGGTGAATGACCCACAGACTCGCCTGCAGCCCAGTATGATGGAGGTGGTTTCTCACTTGAAGTTTCCTCATCCCAGATGACCCTGGCTCCTGTCAAGTTGACAGAAACCTAACCAGCCCAAGTGGTCAGGGAGGTGGGGCACAGGGAGGAAGAAGGAAGTCGGGAGGAGGAAGAGAGTGATGAGGAAGTGAGGAGGAAGGGAAGTGGGGGGCAGGCAGGGACCTGGGAGGAGGAGAAGAAAGGAGGAAGGGAGAGGGAAGGGAGCCAGAATGAGAGAAGCAGAGAGGAGAACTGGGCCAGAGATAGTGAGGTCCACGGAAGGAGGCAGGGAAGTTGGGCATCTGAATAAGGGGCTATGGGAGGCATGGATGGAGAAAGAGGTAACAGAGGACAAAACCAGAAAGGAGGACACAGACAGGAGGCAGAGGGGCAGGGAGCAGTTTGAGGAGGGAGAGCAACTGAGTTGGAGCAAAAGCTCAGGCCTGCGTCTTCTCAGGTGCAGGCAGACTGGCTGGATCACAAGGTAGGACTCTGTGTGAGGAGGCCTAGTTTAATGTGGTGTTTTCTCTTTAACCACAGCTAAGAGGAAATGGGGTGAAGGCCAGAGCATGGTGGAGCATGAGCATCAACTCCGTCTCTTTCTCCACTGTGCCTGGGACCCTTTTTTCTTGGGCTGCAACATGTGGCCCTAGACCCTTCCTCACACTAAAGGTGTCCATGAAGAGTCGTTCACCTAAGGCCAGCTGAGGTGAGTCTCGCTGACGTGGGCCACCTTGTTCAGTCCACTGCTTCCCCAAACAGCTTCCTCTCCGGAGCCGCTCTGGCGCAACCTTGGACACACCCTTCCTTTTCCAGCACCTGAGAGCAGGGTAGGGTCAGGGAGAGCACGGTCTCCTCCTCCTTCATTTCGTGATTCTTCAACACCCATTCCCCCTTCCTGTTTCATAAATTTCTGACTCTTTCATGAAGTAAGAGGCTGTCAATGAAAGCACTTTAACATGCCCTAGGTCATGAGAGTCCAAGAAGGAAGAATCATGGGTGGATTCTCGGTTCTCTTTTCCTTGACGAATGCTCAGACGGCAGAGGTCTTCAGAGGAGGGGCACCACCAGGTGGATGAATTCCATGATATGAGCCAAGTGGTCAGGTCTCTGGCTGCCTTTATGAGCCGAAGCTTCAAGCCAGGCTTGGCGAGCCCAAGGTGAATGAATACCTTAGGATATAACTCTTCAGCCCCGTTGGGCCTCTTTTCAGGTCTCAGTGGGTTTTCCGTAGCTTTAGCACAGCGGTTCTCAGCCTTCCTAGTGCTGTGAACCTCCAAACCATAAAATAATTTTTGTTGCCACTTCATAACTATAATTGTGATCCTGTTATAGATTGTAATGCAAGTATCTGTGTTTTCTGATGGTTTTAGATGACCTTTCTGAAAAGGTTGTTCGACCCAAAGGGGTCTCGGTTCACACGTTAAGAGCCACCGTTTTAGCAGCCAAGCTGAGGTGGGATCATTTGTGAAGGAAAGATGTTCATTGTCTGGGAGTCCTCTGGCTTCACTTGGCTTCTGGTGATGGCCTTAGGTGGGAGGAAGGGCAATTAGCCAGAGAGATCACACAGCGAGAGGAAGTTAGGAAGAGCCTGGGAAACACGCTATGTAACTCACACCTCCAGCGTATAGCTCGCTCTGTGGGAGCTACATTCATCCGTTCAAGAGGGCAGAGGCCCTGTGACACCAGCCGTCTCTTAAAGGCCTCCATATCGCTCAGTACTATGGCATTGGCATTTTATCTCAGCATGGGGTTTTTGCAGAGACAAACCGTATTTAAGGCAGAATACTTATGCTTACTTGAATAGGGACAAAACCATTATAGAGTTTAGGACAGAGGGAGCTAGTGTTACTGAATGTCAACTGAAAAAAAAATACAACCAGTTTGTTTGAAGGGTGCCAAGCCAATAAGCAGAATCAGCCAGGTAATTCCTTCATAGCGATTGCTCAGACACTGGTCTCATAGCCTTCTGAGTTCACTTTCTATGCTTCTGACTTGTTTTTGCTTTGCATTGGAAGGCCCTAAGTGTGGTTTTAGGTTTTCATCCATTACCCAGACTGTCAAGAACTGTCAACAGCTCTGTCCAGCATCTCCAGAGGCTTGGGTCAGCTGGAGGATAATCATATTAGATTACATCGGATATCATGTAACAGTTTGCAAACATGTGTCTCATGCAGTAGCTCTCTGAAGCCTCAAGCAGTTCTCAGATGGCTGATCACCTCTAATCTGTGGACGAGGAAGCTGGAGGCCCAGAGATGGGAACTGACTACCCCAAGTGGCAGACCAGCTTTCCCGAATGAAAGTGCATGCGTTTCTGCAAGCCTGCTGCCCGCCTATGACATACAATACCAATCATTACCTAATATGAATCACTGACACACTAGCTGCATTAACGCACATTATCTCATTTAGTTCTCCCGTTGGGCACATGAATAGCTGCATTTTCCTCATATTAAAGGTAGGACAGAGCAAAGTAGGTGGTTCACCATCACACAGAGGAGGAGGAGGAGGAAGTGGAGAGCTGAGTCCAGCTCGTCCTGCCTCAGAGCTGCTGTTCTTAACCACTGACCACTTCACCATCAGGCCGGAAGTGGGACAGCGAATCCAAACTGGCCTCCTCTTTTAAATTGCTTACTAATTTTTATTGATATTTTAAAAAGAAAGATGGGGGAAATGGAGGAAGAGGCTTTAACTGGGCAGTGGGAGAAAGGGTAATACAGAGATAGAAGAAGGAAAGGAGGAGGATAAATAACACTAATTGTATCTGAAAAGTCAGAGTGAATCACACTCTTTTTATGTTTACCTAAATTTACACACATACACACATGTATGCACACATGTACACATGCATACAATACACTTGGACACACATACATGCTGTGGGGGAGGAAGACACAGGATGGGTTGGAGGGAGGAGGGGGAAATGATGTAAATATGGCATACATATATGAAATTAAAAAAAATTTTGCTCTCTGTAATACCAGAAATCTTATTTAACAAGTTTATGGCAGACAAATAAAATTTGGACATTTTCTAGGTCTTTTGGGTTGGGGTTCCAAAGAAGACCATCAGATCTCAGGATGTAGAGAGGAGCATTTTGAAGTTTGAAAGGAGAAGAAAGTGGGCACCTCCCTTTCCATTATGGCTAGGGACTGAAGGGCATGCCTGCCCACGGGACAAAGCCGCTGGGTCCTCATAGTAACTGATCAGACCTGGACCATTCTGTGAGCTTTGCCAAAACAAATTCTGAGATGTCTTGCTATTAAAACTAAAAGTATGTTCTCAGCTAGCTCAGGAACCGTAGACGTTGGCACCGCACTAATCGTAACGGACAGACAGCTTTCTTCCGGCCAGCCTCTGATCGTTATTACATCTGGGGAATCAGCTGTACCTAATGGAGCCTTGAGCCCCCTTCTGGTTCTCATTCTCCTTCTCTCATTTGCCACGTGGAGGTAGGAGGGGCAAGGAGAAGCTCCCAGGTCACCTCGGTATGGTCCTGGTGATGCCTCCGTCACCTGGAATCTCCCTAGGCCAGTTTTTGTCCGGTGTGGGCTGGAAAGCTGTTTCAGGGATGGGCTTCCCAGTCTCATGTTTGGAGTTGTTTTCCAGGAGACTTCTCTGAAACAATCATGGTGGCGTTTGGCTGGGCTGAGTGAGCGGCTCTGCCCTTGGACATGGAAGGATCCTTCTTTCTGCAGTTACTCTACAGGGCAGCGATGTGTGTGTGGGTGGGTGCATGGCCTGTAAGGTTTCTCCCCAAAGCTTTTCCTCCCCCTCCACCTGCACCATTTTGCTCAGTCTAACTCCCTGAGTGTTGGCCACGCAGCAGCTGGCACACCCCCAGCTCCGAGAAGGAACTGGCTGGCTGTAATTGCAGAAGACTGATGAATTTTGGATCTGTGCCCTGCCCCTCTTTGTACCAGCAATGGAAAGATGGTTCCCTATCTTAAAAGTCCCCAGGGGTTCTGAACTATAAAGTAACCTCGCGGGATTGTTATGAAGGTTCCCTCCCAATGCAGGAGGCTCTAATACAACACATACCCCTTGGATATTTGGTAACTTGCGAGAACATCAGCGATGAGGGCTCTTTCTTCTCCCCTGTAACAATGAAAGGGTGGGTTTGGAGGATCAGAGCGGTCTTTGATGGGATGAGTAGGCAGAGTGTGGTGGGAAGAACACAGGCTTTCTTTACCTATTCCCAACACGATGGCTTCATGGAAAACTCTTTCTGAAGAAGTGGGGGAACACAAGCACTCAAGTTCCCCATTTAGATTTGTGGTCGAGTGGTGGAGTCTGGGGAACAGAACTTCAACCCTCCAGCATGTAGGGGAGGGAAGGGAAGTAGGTAGGTGAGCATGCTCTAAAGCAGTTGGCTGGATTGCTTGTCCTGTCAGGCGACCTGTGACAAGGGTTTCGTGGTTTATTAAGTTTGGGAAGCAAATGATTTCTTCTTTGAAAGTCATACTTTGTATTTGCATAATAAAAACCTCCTAACCGTCCTACAATTTAAAAGGGATTTGTTTCAATGCCTGGTTTCATAGGCCAAAACTTACGGAGCGCTTACTGTGTGTTGGTGACCATGCCCTGTGCTTTGTGTGAACACTTTGTTCCCTGAATTACCTCTAAGATTCAGGGATTCATAATACTCCATTTTATAGATGTGGAAGCCAGGACTCAGTGGAGGCTGAGCGACTTGCTCAGAGAGAGGAATAAAAAGTTTTGTCACATGATTCTGGGATCAAAGTTCATGTTTATCCCCAAAAGACAGTCCAGTGTGTGTGTGTGTGTGTGTGTGTGTGTGTGTGTGTGTGTGTTGGGTATTATTCTCCAGTTTATTTTCTGAGGCAAAGGTCTCTCTGGAGTTTGCTGGTTCCAGCTAGTCTAGCTCACCAGCTTGCTCTGGTGGGAGGTGGGGGTGGGGTAGGGGTAGGGTGTCCTCCTGTCTCTATCTCCCCAGTGTTGGCCTACAGGTGGCTGCCACACTCACACAGTTATTATGTGGGTTCTTACGATGCACACTCCGGTTCTCACACTTTCATGGAAAGCGTTTATCCACTGAGCCACATCTCTGGTTCCTGGCCCACTGTTTCTTTAGTCCCTTATAGTCACAAGGGTGTTTTTCTGGTATATTTTTGCGTTTCATGTTTATTATCATAACCTGAGAGTGATATAAGCACTTTGTATCTACTAGAAATAAATTATTTTACGTTACGAACATTTTTATAAGTTTAAAAAAATATTGAAATATACATAGCCAATAATTACATTGACTCCATTACAGCCATCAGTTAGAGGAAGTGCAAATAAAAACCTTACTGCCATTTTGTAGTGACTAGGATGCAATAGTTAAATGGTCAGGACAGTAGTGTCAGCAAGCATGCACTACTGGAGGAAGCATAGCGTTGCAGTTCTGCAGAGGGTTAAACAGAGTTACTGTACGGAGCAGTTACACACCTGGGCTTCTACATGGGATAAATGAAAGCATTATGGCCATACAAAATTTCTTTATGAATATTAAAAGCACCATTGTTCGTGACTGATACACGGCTAAGCAAAATATGGAATATTTGCATGGATATATACATGGAACGTTATCCAGTCATAAATAAGAATGAAGTATTAATGCAGGCTACAGTACGGGCGAAGTATTATGTTCAGTGAAAGTGAGATGCAAATGATCGCGTCAGATGATTTCCTTTATGAAAATAG